CTGGGGGATTGAACCGCGGTCCCTGTGCTTTGCTAAGCTTGTTCTAAGTAGGTGCTTTAGACCACTGAGCCATCTCACCAGCCCTGAATATATTTTATATTGCAAACATTATCTAATTTAAAAAATAATGGATGATAGGAAGCAAAAAAAAAAATAATTAAAAAGGGCTGGAGGGTTTTTTTTTTTGTTTTGGTTTTTGGTTTTTGGTTTTTTGGCAGAACTGGGGATTGAACTCAGGCCCTTGTGCTTGCCAGGTAAGCACTTATTCTACTGAGCCATCTCCCCAGGCCCAGGGCTGGGGTTTTAGCTGAATGGTAGAACACAAGGCCTTGGGTTCAGTCCCCAGTACTACTAAAAAATAAGAAGGCCAGCCATTGGCTGGACCACTTGCCACTCCTGCTGCTCCTGTCCCTGTCCAGCTTCTCCCAGGAACGTACTGGACCCCATAGAAAACTCAGCCAGCCCAGTGCTACCTGATTATGATGCACCTCACTCCCCAAAGCTGCGTGCCAGGCCAGTGAGCCCAGCACATGGGACCCCAAGACATCAGAAGGGGCAGAGGAGACAGGTTCTCTCTCCAGTGCTGGCATGGTCACATTGTTGTGCCAGGCACAGCTCCAGGAGCTATCCTGTGGATCATCTCACTCCATCCTCAGAACAACCCTATAAGGCATTCTGACCACCGTGTTTTACACAGCAAGGAAGCTGAGCCTCTGGAAATTCCTTTCACAAGATCAGGGAGCTAGGATGCTGACTGCCTACTTCAAACTCCAGATCCGTGCTGTCTCCCTGCTTCCTGTCTCCTACTCCTCAGTTGTCCATGTGTCCAGAAAGCGTCCTGAATCCCATAGGGCTGAGCCCTCAGCCTCTACTGGGGGTGGGGGGATGGGAACAGGGCTCTGGGAAAGCTTCCCTTTGAGCCATATTATGGGCCCAGGGCCTAGGGAGCAGACATTTGGTCTGGGGCTCCTAGGGGAGGCAGCCTTGTCCAGAGTAGGCCCCTCACGCTGAGCTGTTTGCCTTCTCTGTTCCACCATCCTGAGTCTGCCACTTTCAGCCTGCATGCACCTGCCCCACACATCCTTCAGGCCTGAGCTTCACTGTTAATACTCTTGGAAAGGTTTTTCCTGATCTGAGACAAAGGAGGTCAATTTATCACAACTAATTACATAATGTTTGCCTCCCCTGCTGGCCTCTTGGCATCATGAGAGTAGGCTCTGTGCCCATCTTGCTGGCTGCCATCTCCCTTGTACTTCGCACATAGTAGATGCTCAGTAAATATGTCTTGTGAATGATCCCATAGGATCCCAGGGGGGAGATGGCTCTCAGTAGCAGTGGGAAGGCAAGAGGACACAGAGTGGGAAGGTGAAAAGTAAGACCCCCCCCAGCCCCCATCTATCCCAGAACCATCCCCAAGCCACCAGCCTCTGACTCTGCTTAACCCTTCCTCCTCCCCTGGGCCCCTTTGGAAGCCGACCATCTGGCTTGGAGCCTATTTGCATATCGTCTGGGCCTCAACAAGCTGAGCAAGATGTCCCAGGGGATGCGTTTCAGGCCAGGCCAAGTGGCCCTTACAGCCTGCATAGGGAGCCATGAGTTCCACCTCTCCCCACCCCCAAATCCAGGCATGGGGGAACAATACGGTGGTGATGCAGTAGCCTCACCATGGTAACAGGCTATCAAAAATGTGTGCACGCCCGGGTGGGGGCAGGCAGAGGAGGGAGGGAGTGACCTCAGCAAATAGGAGCATCATGATAAATGAGCCAGCACCAGGACTCATCCCCGGCCCACCCCCCAGACTCCACGACAGTGCCATCACGTGAATGACCCTACCGTGACCACTGGCCCTCCCCCAGCCCAGAGCCTACTCAGATGCAGCAAGGTGCCCTTCTTTTGGAGGATTGGGACTCCTCCCCAGCTGAGTCCTGGCTCTGCGGGGGAGGGCATCCAGATCTGTGGCAGTAGCAATCCACGGTCCCCAAGCCAGTGCTCTCGTTTCTGCACACACACACACCAGCATAGCCCCTCCCGCCGGGGTGCAGTGGATATGTCAGGCCCCAGCGGCTCTATCGAGCGGCCACAAGATGTATGGGCTGGCGGCCCACCAGCCAGTGCCAAGATGGAGGCCAAGGAAAAGCCTCTGGAATCTCATTGGGAAGGACCCCACCACAAAGCCAAGTAGATGAGGCAGGCTAGCTGGAGGCAGGCTCTCTCCACCCTGCCCATTCTGGGAAATATGGGAACTCCAGTCTGCTTTTTTTAGAAATACAAGTTAAAATTAGAAGGCAGCAGTCTCGGTCGTAGACACTTTGCCCATAGTCTGTGTGCCACTGGCATCAGATCCAGGAGTGTTGGCACTGAGCAAAGAGGACCTGTCCATCCAGGCTGTATCCCTTCTGCCAGGTGGCATGCAGGGCAGGAGAGCACCTCCAGTGCTGCCCACCACAGAGGCTGTGTGTGTGCACGTCCATGCTGAAGCAGCCTGTCTCTGACCTTCACACCAGCCCGGGTTGGCTTCCCAGAGGCTGGGTCATCTCCTTAGAGTCTTTGTTCTTAGGTCACTTTTTTTTGGGGGGTGGGCAGAACTGGGGATTGAACTCGGACCCTTGCGCTTGCCAGGGAAGCACTTATTCCACTGAGCCATCTCCCTGGCCCCTTAGGTCACTTTTAAGAACAAAATCCCCTGCAGCCTTCCGAGAACCATGTTGGATGAGTGAATGGGAAAGAGCCCAGATACCACAGAGTTCATAGGGCTGGATCCTGGGATACTGGGAAAGGAGCAGTGACCTTGGGGAAATTCTGGGTCTCCCAAAACACTGCTGCCTACAGCAGGCAGGTCTTGGTGCTCACTGAGCAAGAGAGGCCTGACCCTGACCTCTTGATCTTCAAGGTGGTTGTCACTGGCCCCCAGGGCTGCGGGAGAGGGAGCTGTGGTGTGGTGATTTGTCAGCATCCTGGCTGGTGAAGGATCCTTCTCTCCCTCTGCTAGAGGAAATTAACTGATGCTATCAGCTCAGTGATTGTTTTCTCCCCTCACAAAAGGAAATATATGCAGACCCCTCTAAGAGCAGAGGCGGATCTCCCCCTTCTGGGACTGGCTGGAGAGATAAAGGTGGAAGAGGTTGCTGGAGCCCTCAGAAACCTAGTGGATGTCTCAGGCCTGCCTCCAGCTCTTGTGGGGAGGGCTCTGTGCTTGGCTCTTGGCCAGGAGTTTCTCCCACTGTGTGCCTTGCACCCTTCATGTGGGGAAAGGCTGAAGCTACTCCAAGCCTGTAACAGTGCCAGAGGCCCACTTCTCTGAAGGCTGCTCATTCATTCCCCCATGGTAGGAACCAGCAGGTTCAGGGGCTCCACAGCCTGATTGAACAGAAGTCCTGGGAGCTCCATGTTTACTTCCTGGGCCAGCAGGGTTTTAGGGGCTAGGAACCCTTTAGTTTGACATTAGTTTGTTCTGTGCCTTCTTCTCCAGGGGACATCCGGAGCCTCCTTATCTGGATCAAGAAGAATTTGCTAAAAGAGCGGCCAGAGCTGTTCATCCAGGGAGACAGCGTGTGAGTTCCCTTCTTACTTCCCTGAAGAATGTAGAGACAGGGAAGGATGTCAGAGCCCCTGCCCTCAAGTTCAGACTCAACCTTCTCTGTCCCCATCTGAGGCCCTTTGTTCCTTCTGACTTCTCTGGGGAAGGTGCTTCCCTCCAGCTCTGTCATCTGTTTTTGGTTTTCTCACACTGGACTTGAGCATTTGTTAAACGCCCAGATGAAAGGATCTTGGTGAATTTCTCCAAAGTTAATAGCCTTCTGGTTTCCACAGACTTGCTGTGGAACCGTATACATGTTGTTTTGCTTCTCTGGGCTTCAGTTACCCTTTGTGTGAGAGATGACTAAGAAGATG